AGTTTACTCGGAATGGTTTTTTTCTGGTACCTGTAATGCGCAATTGCGCGCATAAGTATACAATGCAATCCCCGTTTTTCAGAATAATAATTCACTGCTTTGTCACTTTATAGTTGAATTTGTCAACTTCTAAAAATAAACAGAGCATATTGAGAACCTTGTGTCAGTATACAAATTATTTCAAGTATCGAGTTGAATTATTATTATAAATAATTATATATAGGAATATTATTATATATATATATATATATATATTATTATATATAGAGATTAAGTCACAGTAAAATCAACGTGGATTACGTCCCATTCCTCAGAAATAGACAAACGATCAAATTCGCATTATCAGTTATTTAAAGCAATATCCTCGCACCAGAGATCAGTAAATTTTATTCCTATTGACTTGTCATAAGATGTGTGGCTTAGATTTCAATGCTAAACTATAAAAGTTTTCATTCGCTACATTTTACGTTGATATGTCCTACAGATACTTCAATCTCGACTCAATTGACTTGTATGCACATCGACTTGTTTGTATCGATATTTATTTAATAACGCATTACACAACAATAATTATGCCCACAAAGCTTAGAAGGATTTGGCTGTGCGTCGAGAATAGTGAGAATAGTAAGTCTGTTAGTATTGTTGAAATCTTGCAACAAGTATCGGATTATTGGTTTTTCGACCTTACTGGTAGAGTGGACCCCCAATGAAACATTACAGATACTCGAGGAACCCCTGTGCAATAGTTTAAATTTCATTTTGTTGTCTAGATTGCAGAAACAATAAATAAACAAGCCTTTAAATTGCAAAAAAATGAGTTTAATATCAGGGACAAATTTTGAAGGTATTTGATCATTCGTTACTGGCCCAAAAGTAGGTATACAGTTATTAAAACTATTATACAATAAAATAGTTTAATAACTGTATTCCTACTTTTGAGCCACCCTTTATAAGCAAATTAAACATATCAACATTGACTTTCGAATTTGAATGGAACTTGCGGGTGTATGAAACATTGATTATTCGCCGGGCACTTACTTACAAATTTAGTCCAGGGTCTCATAACCAAGTAAAGAGTATTACGGCAGCTACAACTTATTTAATAATTCTTTTGGTTTTGATTTGGGTAAACTTTAGTACTTTGGCAATAGACATTTGTAATTTGATACGTGCAAAGGTAGTAAAGTCCAGAGGTATGGCACATCGAAAGAAACAGGGCAGCATATCGACGCCGTATGGTGAGTAATTAAGTAGTATTAGATGTGAAATGATAAAAAACAAAATATTTGGCTAGAATAATACTGAATTTCGACGCGACGTAAAAGTATAAACGTCATAGTAGCAGTTTACAATATTCATTGTAATATTGAGAAGGCCATTTAAGAGGTCGCCAGTAACTTTACTCAAAAACAATTCGCCCATGAGTTACTGCATGCACGTGTCGTTGATATGAGTAAATTTTCTCGGAAAAATAAGAAAATAATTAGACATCGAGACTGCATTGCAAAATCAAAATTAGTTCAATTTACATATACTTACAATTGCGAATTGAATAAATTAAGACATTTTGTATAAAAGACTTTCATATAGGTATATTCAAATTTGGGTACTCCCAAAGTATCTGTACCAAGGGGGTGGACACAGGGACGTAGTATGTGTAGATTCGGGTTAGGCCATAATTTTATTTCAATTTCCTTATTCCAGTTCTATTACAAGCTCGGGCACTAGTCAAGTCCAGTCGTATTTGTACCTGAAATTAAATCCTAACCCCTACATGCTACGTATACGGTATACATGCTACGTATACGGTATACATGCTACGTTCCGGTGCATACCTTAGGAGTAACGCGAATACAGTAAAAATAATTAGAGTGTGTGTGAATTTTTTTACTCTGTATGTAGTGAAGATTAGATTTTTATTTTACGCAAAGGTTATTATGGCCCTAAGCATCACATTGATACTGTTTTGAATATTTTTTTTCAGAATGGCATAAACCCGAAGAAAAAATAGTAAGTGATGGAAGGAAATACGGCATTGCTGTGTTGTTATATCAAGTTAGAAAACATGAATTTCATTTCACGTTTTTTCTCAACAATAAAACCAGGGAAAACGAAGTCGAAGCTATGTACGCTAAACTAGATGGAAGTTTGCTTCAACGTTTCAACCTGCCCGCGGTCGAAATGGGAGACAGAATTGAAGTTGTTTTTTTTACACGGGATCGTGACTGTGAGGTAAAATGCATTTTCAGTAAAATATAAAAATCTTCAGAAAATCTGTTTATTAACAGAAAATTTTGATTGTTTCGGTCAATGGTACTCAGCTATAATTTTTTAAACACATACCATGATTCTTGACAATTTAATTAAACGAAGAAAGACAACTTAAGTTTTCGATTTAGTCGGTATTCTAACTTATGATAGCAATACATGGGCCTTCGCCTAAGATATTGCAAGGCTGAAATTCAAGTGTACAACACTACGAATAAGCGAGTTTAGTAGGGAAAATTAGTATATCTTATTTGTTTTAACATTTTTTTATGGCTTGTTTTTTGTGATGACAAATAAAACCTTGATTGATTGAGTCATTTCGAACACATCGCAAACATTGACATCTGTTCATCGTAATTACATCGTTGTTTATGTAGGAATTTTGCTTAAAGTCGGCAAAATATTGGATTACAATGAAAACAATGTAATGTATCATTACCATCCGGCGCCACATCTTTAAATTGCACCCGTTTTAATGGGTAATGTTTAAATATTTATGTTGACCGTTTATTTTTATTTTTTCAAAGACCAATGAAAGTCGTTATAGTTTCAATAACGGAGGGAAACATTGTTTCATGGTAATTGAAGATTTCGTATCAAAGAACAAGCGTCATGATTTCAACTTTGTGGCAACGGGTTCTTGGTAGAGATCCGGTGATGTCGTTGTTTGCGATATCAACATCAATAACATGGAGATAAACGGGGGAACGCGTACTTTTGTCTACAGTTTCACCAAATAAAAATACCCAACCGGAAGTTTCGGGGAGGAGGCTTGGCACGGGTTTAACTTTTCTTTAGAGTGGCCCACTCAAAAGTAGCTCCGAAAATTTAGTATTAGTTTAGTAAGGAATTTTTCAAATGTTGATTTTATAATAAAAAGTTTAATCTGAAATAAATTGATCAGAGAAAGATAACATATTTGATATATCGACTCACTCACAGAATATCGAGGCCATAAACTATATTAAGCTACCACTTAAACCAGGAATGTGCAACCTTTATTTCAGGAGGATCATATACAAGAGTGAAGCCACGGGCCGCAACTTTATTTAAGATAGCCTTTCTAATAGTTGCAAGCACAAAAACTTGTTTCTTTGTGTTATTGATCTTACACCATCCTTGCAGAAATGGTGAGTTGAAACGCATAAATTTTTAAAGAAAACTGCTATTCAAATTTATTGTCACATCGACTTAACGAACTCAGTGAGAAACACGTTTTTATATTATTGTGTATTTAGTTTTGCTCATATGACAGCGGCACTCAGGTACTGGTATAGGCTTTGCGACGCAAAGAGATTGAAATTTCTCACACGTACCGGATTAACTAAACTAAAAACTCATTTCGCGGGCACACCATTAAAAACTGGCACTTGTCCGCGGGCCGCACAATTTTTCCTTGCGGGCCGCATTTGGCCCGCGGACCGCAGTTTGCACACCCCTGACCGCTGACCTATACGACCTATCGACAGATCGGGCTACTGTTAAGTGGTACATCCTGTATATAAGCGTTGCGTTATTTTTAAATTTCTTCGTTTTGGCTTCCGTGTCCGTGTATTTGAGCATTGCCCTCTTGTTATATTACACAACAACCCAGCTGCTATCCTTATCGTTCGGTTACTAGTTCATGTGGGGTATGGGAATAGTTAGTATTTGTATGTGGGAGAGGAAGTCGATAAGACGATGTGGCTTACCATGGCTCTTCACCCGGTTACCAGTCCATATTGGTTATTGTTATTGGATTAGTTAGCCAGTTATTACTTATGCATGTGTTTGGTTGTGTAGAAGTCGGTTACTGACCACCGAAGATATGTAGTCCTGCAATCCTCCCGTCTAAAATATTCACCCCGCGAGATTCGAACCAGCGAACGGTAATCAGATGGAAAGCGGATTACTAACGACTAGCACGATGCGCCATACCTTTTCAATGCAGAGATAAATCGGGAACATTTTTATTTCCGTATATCAGTGGTTCCAAACCGCGGCCCGCGGCCAATACCGTCCATGTAACAATTTTATGGGGCCGCCGAACTTAAGTCAAATAGATCAACACTTTTTATTTTTGACTTTTTCCGTTCTGGATTTGTCATTACCACAGTTTGAGCCCATCTATATTCCTAACAATAAAATTATACCTATTTTTCGATAATACGTAGGGTATAGGCTTCGGCTCCTTGCGGGCGCACGCCTCTCCTGGCCCGTGATCAATTAACTTTAAGAACCACGGCCTTACATGGACAAATCGTGGTAAAAATGATCACTATATTATTTGAAATAAAATTATGTATTACTTGCCGATTTTATAATGCAACATTCGAAACTTATGTTTTCATTATTTTCGATATTGATAAGCGATTAAAATATGGTAATACCTATAGATGATACGTTTACTGTCTAGCTCAAGAGTTGGCACGATTTTTGGATCAGGGGCCAGAAATTTTGCCCATCTAGACTGACGGGCCATGTTAGTATGGTGTTACATTTTATGAACAATGTTTAGAGTGTTACAAAAGCAACAGTGGAAAACAATAAACCTCGTGCCAAAACTAAATTCAATCGCAAACCCAACAAATTCTTTGAGCCATTTTCAACCAAATCATCAAAACTTGGTTTCAGTTTGGTTGTGGCAGCATCAGGCGGGCCAGATTGAATTACTTAGCGGGCCGGATTTGGCCCGCGGGTTATACTCTGCCCATGTCTGGTCTAGCTTCTGAATTAGGTACTTTACACAAATATAATTTTTCCAAATGATTATATTTAAAGATTTTCACAAAATATTCAGCATTAATTGTTGCACATATTGTTTATCATAATAATGAATGAAGGATCCTTCATAGACAATTGAAAATATAGTCGCTGAAAATTTAAGTATTCAATTTTTAGAAGTTATGTCGAAACACGTTTTTTATGCAACCCACACAGAGTGGCGTATCAGGGGTATGGCAGCCGTGCTTCGGGCGAAAAGGCGAAAAGTTTTAATCGTAAAGTGTTTCATTAAAATAATATCAAATTGGAAATAACTTAATCTCGTATTTTTACTTAAATAATAACGTAACGTATTCAACAACAGCTGTTGAAAATTGTCATTCAACGATCAAGGGGCGCATATTGAAACTTTGCCGTGGGCGTCATTTTACGTAGATACGCCGTCGTACCGACATCATGCATAAGTATTCACCAGTTTTATTACAATGCAAGCCCCAAGTTTTTGATATATTGGCTGCTGATAGAACTGTTACTTTGAAGTTAAATTTGGAAATTTCTGAACAATAAGATCAATATATCTCAGGAATCTTACTTTACTATATCGTCGCAGTAAAACAGAGCCACATTTGTCACATTTTTCATAAACATACTTTTTTGATCTTTTATCATTATGGATTAGGGACCATTTTTTAGTTTTTTAGGTTTTAATTAAAGCTTTACCTGATTTAGTTTTGATTTTGTGTCATTTTTGGTTTGGCTGTACGGATCTAAAAATTAAAAAAAAAATGCGATTTCATAAAACCTCAAAATGTGACATAAGATGATTTGCTTCTACTGAGACGATTCAAGCACATAACAATCTTTTGAAAGGTAATTATTCAAGCTTGTAAAACGTAGCTGAGTGTTTTGTATGCTAAGCTAAATCAATTTTGAAAAAATTCATATCATATGCAGTATACAGCGCTGAAAAGCATAAAACGAAGTTTAGAAAATTTTGGTATCAAACTCATTATTCGGTATCAGTAACATATACATCTTCGTGAAACGCATAACGGCAACAAAAGTCCGTGATTTTGTTTAGGTTAAATTTTAAAAAATATACTTGTTTTAATTTTGTAATTTGGCATCTCTCACTTTTTGCTTGCTAGTCCTCTTTCATGTATCATATTTTTACCCTAAAAACTAAAACATGGTACAACTGTAAAATGTCGGTCTTGTACTAAAAAAGTGGGTGAATTTAAAATCTTAATTACAGTATAATCTACTAATAAGTTTTTTATAATCTTTTCAATTTCTCTATGCTTCTGGCAATCCTGGGTACACTGTGTTACTCCTCCCAAGGCACTGAGCCATTCTGATTGTCAGCTGACGATAGATATGTTTGCTTCCATTCCCAGTGTTAATTGAATGAGCTTGATCGGCGTAGAACTAGAAAAAAAAATTGGTAATACTATGTTTTAATAATTTTGAACGCTGGAGAAAACCACAAAAATTTTACCACAGCGTTAAGGGCACCCATGAAAGAGCCTTTTTTATATACACTGTGGGATTAGCGTTTTATGACAGGATAGGGAAAAGTCTGAGTGTTGGCAAGGGAAAAACTAAATGGCTTGCCGGGTCGGACTGTAGTTGCGCAGCTCTGATCTAAATGAACGATGGATATGATAAATGGCCTGATTCAAAATTTCAAAAACAACTTGAATTGGGACTCGACAGCAGAAATTTGACTCGACTTAATACGAAATTTTAGAATTAGATGGAAAACAAACTTGGTTTGAAACTCGAGTGACTCGTGACTCGAGGTTAAGAAACATACTAAGAGGTACATACTCGCACTTAATCTTTGGTGTGAATAGTTATATAATATCATTGTACATATACTTACGAAATCATCAAAATCAACATCTTTCTCAACAAGAGCTTTTTCCATCTCTGCAGCATTCTGAAAGTGGACGTTGTCATCAGCAGTACCGTGAATCAAGACGTAGGATGTGCTCTTGAAGTTTTCCAAGTCATGGCCAGTAATGATTGATGCCAACTAAAATGAATGAGGTTTGTGAATGGAGTTAGTGATAGTAAGCATCGTGCTAAGCGTTACGGAATATCGCTGATTAACCTGCGTGGATTCGCAGATCCGAATCCCGTAGGTCAGCGGTTCCCAAACTATGGGTCGCGACCCACTGGTGGGTCGCAAAAGGAATCTTAGTGGGTCGTGAAGATATGTAGAAAGCTGTAATTAATTATACTGATTATTAGGATTGGTGGCGACTCGAATACGTAAATTTTCAAAATAAAATAAAATTGAATTTGAACTCTAATCTGTGTGAGGTTCCTTTTTACGATCTCCTCAAAGAAACAAAAATTTGCAACACAGAGAATGACCATATGGCTTTTTTACGCATAGCAGTTTTGAACACTGTACAGTACTTCTTACCGTGTTTCCCCGAAATTTAGACAGGATTCAGATTTATTTTCTTTTGAAGACTATGTTTTTTTTTGGAATAGGTTTTTTGTGTTCATTTGTCAAAAATAAAATTACACTGTAGAAAATCACAAGATTTTTTATTAAACATTATATAAAAACCGACATCCATTGTTTTTATTTGCATTTGCAATACAAAAATTAGTGAGAAATATGATAATTGTGATTGTGACATCACACAATCTTGAATAGTGATGGAATCTTCACTTTACCTCAGGTGAAAGGTCATTGAACCTTTCCTCTCCCACACATTTTAAATTTATTGTAAGGGTATGGTTTAATTAAAATCATTTTAAAAATTCAAATTAGGTTTTATTTTCAGGCAAAGTCTTTTTTTTGTTTCCTCCATCAATGTTTTATTAATTTATTAAAGTAAAATGGGTCGCCACAAGCTGTGGTAATAAATAGTGGGTCACAACTCTAAAAAGTTTGGGAACCACCGCTGTAGGGGGTTGTTATGTGAGATTGCTGGAACGGTTCGGTTACGAATTCCTTTACCATCAAGTCCATGCATCTGAAACAAATAACTGGCTAGTTAATCCCATACCCGACATGAAATGGTAACCGGACGAGAAACCGTAGTTCACCCTATGATTAAAAGGTCTTATCGGATTTCCTCTCCCTCGGGATAAGTATATAAATCCAATCCTAAATTCAAATATTTTTGGAGTCATTAGTGACTTTACATCAAAAATAAGCTTCAGAAAAGCTAAAACAAAAATATAAATGGTGTCCATAAAGTAAAATCAAATCAAAGGGAATTTATCAAAAACATGTGTAGTTCGTTGGTCCCTACTGGTGTATTAAGTGAAGCAAACACCTAAATAAACACTGAAAAAGAAACGGTCAAAATAGATTGAGAACTGACATCATAATCAAATTGAAATTGTTGAAGGGCTTTATGGACACCCTGTATAGGTTTAATTATGTCGATAATTTTAAGTAATATAAAATCATTTGGTTTATTCGAGAACTTTGGATCACAAATAATCGTATATTGAAAAACGAACAGGCACTCACCGTGTATCCCGCATCATTGTCGGCTCCCGTTGGTAATCCCATGTACCTTTCAGCATACATCGAATCTAAAAATACACAAAAGTGATTTCTTACAAGGGTTGTAGTATACTATATCAAGAATGCAATATAAACTGAATTTATTCCAAATTGTGGTACTCCTGAAACATGTGAACCAAGATGGCGGGCACCGGAACGTAGTATGTGTACCAGGTTAGGGTTAGGTCATAATGTCAGGTACAAATACTACGGGAGTCACTTGGCTACTACTACTTTACATAAAGTGGTATAAAGGGACGGAAACCACTACGGGAGTACCCAAACCAGGGCGTAGTTCTGTAATCTATAACCTAGCAAGTAATAAATGCCGCATATTCAGATCTGCTAGCTGGAAAGGGCAAGGCGCACACAAAACCAGAAAAGAAAAACCAGGACTATTTTGAATCACTTGAAAAGGAGTTTTTATATTACCTTTAATCACTTTTCTGAAATCTATTTACAAAGTAGAAACAAACTCAAACTTGTGAAATTTGTCACCTTGGTTTTGTATCTACTGATAATCGTATTCGAATAACAATAATTTGATAGCAGCCTAAATTTTCAAAATATCAAACTCCAAATAAGATCAAAGCTAAATTGAAGTGTAATTAAAACATGCCGCGAAGGTTTACTAACTACCACAAAAAATGGAATCCATGTCATTTGAAACGTATTCTAGAAAGAACATAACTTTTCTACAAAGCTTCTTAAATTATTAAATTTTTTGGGTACAATCATACGCAAACAGAAGTTCGAGTGATATTTATTGTTTTTCTTTTTTGTAGAGTGATTAAGAAATTTATGGGCTTTGTTTTTTGGTCTGTATGTCATGATGTACTACTAACCATAGAATCTCCAATCTGCCAGTGGCGCCACAGCGATGCCACATTTGAAGGTATTGCCGCCATCAAGACCAAGAGTGTGTGAAGTAGCGTATCCTCCGTAAGACTATGAGTATCATGAGACACAAGGAACATGAAACAGGAAAATGATAATTACTTCCAAAATTAGCAATATTTCATAAGGAAAGAAAGAAAAAATCGTTATTTTTCACTTCAGTAGAGTATAATTTTTATTATATTTGAGAATTAATACTATCTATCTGTATATTTCTTTCTTACTATTCCCTAAATTAATTGAATTCGCAGTCTTTCCCACGGCTTCCCTCTACCATCAAGTTCATACATTGAAATTAACAACTGGCTGACTACACCCATACCCAACATGCACTGGTAACCCAATGAAAGGCGTGATTCGCCACATGATTGCGCCGTCTTTTCGGCTTTCCTCACCCCAGGGTGAACTATGTATGTAAATCCTACTTATATTTTTAGTTATCGTTTTTCCCTTCAATATTGTGAATTTCAAAACTAGGAATAAATATTATTATCTCTCTCTCTCTCTCTCTCTCTTACCCAGCCCCAAATTGCAACATTTGCTGGGTCAATCCAATCGTTCTGTGATATCAACCATTGAGCAAAATCTCTCTGGTCTTCAGGTTCCATCTGTCCTAGTTTTTTGTATACTTGGCGCATGAATTTGTAGCCTAGAAAGTGAAGAAAATAATTTAATTATTTTTTGTATTCAATCCTGTTTGCAATTTACAAAAAGAGTTGATTTGGGAGTCAAAGCGTTAGGACTTATCTATGAGGACATGGCCAGTTAAATTCTCGGTTTCAAATCATATGACGGCGCTCATCTGGGTTGTAATACATTGGGTAAGTTATGCCGAAGAGGGAAAGATCGAAGCCATTTCAAACTATAGTATATTTTCAAGTGGCAGTGGCTGCTTTTTCATAGCCGTCTTTGAAGCGAAATGCGCTTGACTTTAGCAATAATTGACGGCAAAACGCATGCACGTATAATTTCATGATTGCATTGAGATAACGGTTTCCAATCGTTTTCAATCGTTGATTTTAAATATCTTTATATTCTCCTGTCTCCCTGGGCGTGTCTGGACGGCTGCCACAAGGGCGGCACGTTATAGGGGTGAGTTTGTTGCTTCGTTTGATTATTTAAATAATAATTTTACAAACATTTCAGTCTATCCTGACCTTTATTTTATTTATTCTTGTATATAACAACATTTATAATTTGTTTTTCCCCCAAATTATGTTTGACTTTGGGTATAAGGACATCATTATCATAAAGTTTGACACACCCGTGTCTTTCAATCATAACCTATTTTTAGAAAGACCAAAATCTTTTTGGTTCGGTATCCTCTGTCATGTTTATTACACTCTGAGTGAAATGGTGGGAAAGCTTGGATTGTAAAGCAAAATGTTAACCCTCAATCTTCATCGTCAAATAACGCCTTCACCACTAGGCCACCGCGCCCAACAAATAGACTTGAAAAACAAGATAGCGATCGGAGACCGCCGACTTATCGACCTGCGGTTTCGATTTATTTGCTCTGACTCGATAGCGACACCGCGTGTCCTATCACTAATCAATTAATAATTCGCTAAATATATGACCTAATCCATCCAAAATAAATAGGCTTCTGGTCCGAGATATGATGAATTTACATGCAAAATTTGAAGCAGATTCAACCTCGCTTTCATGAGATATCGCATAACATACGAAAGTGTCTGACAGGCAAATACCTATCAACATACTTACCGATCGAGATCGATAAGTAATATTTAAACTTGATATACCTTCATATGCTGATCCTCGTCCGTCGACGCTGGCTACGACAATGTCTTTGTCACTGACCATATGCGTTGATGACCATCCACTGGTCCAAATATCATTCACGCTTTGAAATTCAGGTCCAGCGTACCTGACAAAAAAATTGAAAAGAATGTGAATAGTGTGAAATATTTCTTCATTTTCTGATCTTTATACAAAACAATAAAATTATTGTTTCATGGGCATTTACTATTATGGGCTTTGGGTCAAGTATATCCGACGAAAAAAATCAAAAATAATTTAAATAGTATAAAAAAACGTTTTGTCTTCTAATGTGTGAAGTTATTCCTATTTTTTGCGTTCCATATGGGACAATTAAAGTCTGTTCCCGGTTTAACAGAGGACAGTTACGATTGAGACAAGCTGTCCCGGCGCCCCTCCCGATAGACTCAAATGGCGTGTTGTATAGCTGTCATAAATATTTTTTATTTACTATCATTCATTTAATTTTTTTTGTTATTAGAGACAATCCATTTATCACAGACTTGCGACTTACTTCATCTAGTTCCGTTGGAGAAACAAACTCCTATATTGTCATAAATATTATATGATTGATACGTCACTTTAACATCCGCAGTGGTTCTCAAAAAGTGGGGCGCACTCCGCAATGGTGGCGTAGACATTTTTTGGAGTTTTTTGTGTAAATCATACTTTAGCGTTACCTGTTATGTGTAGCTTATTGTCAGCCAGTTATTTTATAGATGGGGCGCAAAACTTAACCAATTCTAAAAAGGGGGCGTAATCTAAAAAGTTTGATAACCACTGATCTAACGTCTAAAACTGTACCGCCGTATCTGTAATTTATTCAAAATCCGAAAAAAAGTGCACGTTTTCCAATGAGTTGAAAATTACTAAGTCTTAAAATCGAACCAAGGTTCCTCCATTCCAGCCGTTTTTTTGTTTCATATATATGGTAAGCCTACTTTTAGGTTCAACTTTTAGGTCTGACAATCAAGACATAAGTTGAAAAATATAACATGAATAATTTGCTTATAAGAGCCTGTTTTTAGACTAAAAAGGTCAAACGTTATTTCGTGAGAATATTAAAAAATGAAGTTTTGTCTTGTACGCATTTAGTGTTTTATTTCATGTATTTGAAACTTCCTGAGTAATTTAAATATGAAATGTATATGTATCAGCATTACGACTTCATTGCGACCAGCTCGATATTAGAGAATAGCAATATTAGATTTGACAAACGGTTACTCGTATTTTGTATGTGGAATACGTATGTATTTTGTGGTATGGTTGGACATATGGTTCTTTTTTATTGTTTAAAATAAGTAGCCTATAATAAATTAAAAAAACTTACACTTCGATCAACAGAGGATATTTCTTGTTAGGATCAAAATCTTCTGGTTTGAATAATTCATATTTGTATGCTGGAATGAAAAATGAATAATGGTTAATTAGGAAAAATACAATTTGTTCGCGATTTTCACCAACAGGGTTCAATTTGAATTGAGTAGACAGATATGTTTTTAGAGTTCGAATTGAGTTATTATTCTCGCGAGCCTGAAAAAAGAATAATATACATGATGTTACCGATTGGGTTTCTGCTGGGGTATCTACTTATCCTACTTCTTTGCTTTTATATGCATATACTGAAAAAATGCGTAGCAAGAAAAGAGGATTCTAAGTGATTCAAGAGTCTTGCTGCACACTAACATAAATGAGCTTTGAATTACGAATTAGATAATGTTGGAAATGCAAAGATTAAAAACACCTTTCTCCTCGTATTTGTCACTTTTGAACTCTCCATATTCTTTTTGCGGCCATCTTGTAGCGCTTACTTTTGTTGCGAGTTCTGCGTTGTCTTCAATCACTGTAGGTTTTTCTTGCCAGTTACCTTCGGTGTCAATGGTGTAATATACAGTCATAGGAATCCAGAATCCTGTGAATTGTGGAAATGATTTTAGGTTAGCGTATTAACTTATTGTATATTCGAAATTTTGTGAACGAATTATCTTATTTTGTTCGCTTACTTTACATCAAGTTATTTGAAGGGATCAAAACCTATGAGCAGGGGGTATATTCACTTAACTAACACAGAAAGCTCCGAACTCGGTAATAGAACTAAAATAGGGAAAATCGTAATAAAATTATGCCCTCTATAACCTGGTACACATCTACGGGAGTACCAAACTCACTAACAACAGGTTCCCTCATTTCAGAAGCTGGATGTCGCCACGCTTTACATAAATCTAATACATAACTTTCAAAACACCAGAAATAACGTTAATCTTCATCTGCGGTGCACGATATCCATTTGGTGCGGTTGTCCAACGTCTAAAGCAAAAACCGGAAACTGGTTCGCTGATGTCACAACAATCCAGGAACCTCCCAAATCCCACCGCGGATTAGAACTTAAAATGGGATATGATTTACCTATTTATCCCGGGAGAAAAAAAAACGATGAAGTGGTCTAACCCAGTGGTCGGCAACCACCGGGCCGCGGCCCATTGCCGGTCCGCGGAAAGGTTACTGCCGGTCCGCAGAGAGGTGACACAAAAACGGAAAAGGCCGTAATAAAACCTCTACAATCTAACCACAAACCCGACGACTAATAAACAGCATCCAACAGTAAACCAGACAAACACAACACCAGGGGTCAACAAACTGCAGGCCAAATGCGGCCCGCGAGCTAATTCGTTGCGGCCTTCGAACGACCCAACCTTTAATACATAAAAAAAAATTAATACCAAATTTAATATTGTCTCTACATGGATTTATATGGTGACAAGTACTGCTGACTGCGACTGCGCTTGTTGTAACAAGTAGCGTCAGTTGTATATCGTTCGAGTTAATTTGGATTTTTAAAATTTGAAAAATATCTGGGAAACGGAGCGACGAGCATTCCAAAGTGCTTGAACGGGAAAATATTTTTCTTTTCTGCGCATTCCAAAACCGAGTTGCTCCATATGCCCAGTCAGCATCGCAATTGGGGTTTCAATGTTGAACTCGTGTTACGAAACGAGTCGTCAAAAATTTTACCCCGTGACCTTGGACTGCGCCACAGCTCATCTGTGCGATCGTGCAAAACGTGTAATGTGCACGTCCGGAAGAACATATGGCCTTGAGCAGCTTTAAAATGCATTACACTTAGATTAAATTTCGTACTTGCTTGTCAGATCATCATTTGGACGACAAGTTGCCATAAAAACATCATCTTTCACATTGATAATAAGTAAATAAAGACAATGTAATGTTGGATAACAAATTAAAAAAACGCCACATACACATCTCATTGGGACAGGCTTTCAACGCAGCAATAGAAAGGCAACATTGCGATTGCGCCATAATTTGAAGTTTAATTAATGTAGCAATTTTTAGAAGGCGGAAATATTGCGCCCCGCGCGCTACCGGAAATGTTTATATTTGGCCTGCAAGTATATGAAGTTTGCCGACCACTGCACAACACTATTGAGCAGCATGTCTGACTTCATAAACAATTGCCATGTCAGTATGTCGAAATAATGCTGGGTCAATTGTTTTTTCCGTAAAGTATGTGTCTCATCAGTCCGAATAAGATCTCCCCAACAAAATGATACAGGCATTGTTAACTTTTCCGAAATCTTATTAATGTGACGCCCGGTTTTCAATATTGATAACTACAAAAACAAAATAGGCTGGATGTAAGAAACACGTTACGTGAGTTCATGTCGACCATATCTCGAATATGGGAACAATTAATGGCCATCAAACAAATAAAGATATCTCATTAAATAGCATCGCCGTCGTTTTAGTACATTGTCAACCTAAATTCCCTAGTGCGTATAATGTATTGCATAGGCTTAGTTCGTTTGTATAAAGGTGGTCCGCTAAAAGTTTGGTCATGCTTTACCGGTCCGTCACTTGAAAAAGGTTGCCGGCCACAGGTCTAACCATATGGCGAACCACGGCTTCTCGTCCGGTTACCATTCAACGTCGGGTATAGTATTAGTTGGTTATTTGTTTTCGAAATCATGGACCTGATGGTGGAGGAAGGCGCAACCGACCAGCGGTTACGTGAACCACCCTACAGCGGCGAGAAGTCCATCAATAATCTTAATCAGAGTTGCAATGGCTACCTTATTTCCAACGCTTATTGCAATGAGCCACACCGCCGCGCGACTTATTACTCGATTTTTCGAACTTGTCAAATTTTATTTTAATTTGGTTAATAGGACCTAAATCAATTCGATTCTGAAATCATCATTCGTTTAAGTTGAATCATCTGGTATTCGAAAATTTCCAGCCCTTACTATGATATCTCACCTCTGCAGTTGGCAACGGCAATACTTCTGTCACGATTGAAACTAGGAGTAATCCATCCACATCTGTTTTCATAATCTTTTTCGAGTTGGCAAGTCATGCATTCCGGTTCTCCGTTATTTTCGCTACCTTTAATTCTGAAAATATGTCGTTTTCGTGGTTCTGGAGCTGCAGCCGTGAAGTATCTAGAATAATAAAAAGAAATATTTAGTGCGTTGAATTGAAATTATTAGCGTCCAAAAGATTAAAAAGTAGCACAATATAAGCGTGTTGTTGATAAAATAATTCTCTTAAAAACATATATGTGGACAACAACAACAACAACAACAAAAGTATGAAAGCAAGTCTTCCTCAAATAAAGCATCTCTCATCTTATTAACAGCAATCGCTTTCACAGAGCTTTATTCATAGTAAAAAAGTCATAAAAAAACAGTAAAATCTGGGAAAACTCAAATTTACATATTTCATGCACCACTGCCTGTATATGAAGTATAGGTCTTGTGTTCGTAAGTGAATTTTGATTCACAATATTCAACAAGTAACTCGGCTTGGAAATACTTACAGCCAATCATTTGTTTCGTCGTAAAAATATAACCCAACAATATCATAGCCCGTCTTCGTGACCCACTGTTTAGCAGACAGATCTGCACTGACTCTTGCAATCTGCCAACGGCCATCTTCTGCATCATTGTCGTCTACGCGAGCGTAAATGGTGAAGTATTGGTTAGGTACAGTTCCAGTTTTCCATACGATGTCGAAAGGACCAAACTGATAAACGAAAAATTTACTTAGGTTATTAGAGAATATTTTACGCTATTGTCGCATGGAAAATCGCCGCAAGAGCATTTTTCTGTAAAACAAGTATTCGTGATGAAAACAGTCAGATTTTCAAAGTACTTTTTCATGTAAAAATAAATTGTTATTCAAGAGCACCATAACCCTATAAACCTAACTGTTTTCAACCACAAATACTTGTTTTACAGCAAAATGCTCTTCGGCGATTTTTCATGCGACAAAATGTCCTGCGCGAAATTTCCTGCGGCGAAATTATTTACGGCGCAATTTCCTGCGGCTAATATTCCGGTCACGGATCTCGGCAGTTGCGCAATCTCAATGATTTGAATTATGGTAAAAGTTAGTGACTGAATTTTATGTATTGGTAATTAAATTATGAATTATTCCATTTCGTTTTCAGCGTCTATCAGTAGTGGTTTTCCTAGACCCCCTGTAGGAGTGAACACCTTCTTTCCCTAAAATTTGAACCACCTCCCTCAACCCCTTAAATTTGAGGTGTGGCATATACCACTGCAGATAATTAGTTAACTACATTTTTGAGATACAAATAGTTTTGAATTTGTAGACATCCCTTAGAATGAAATGCTTCGAAGCAAAATGTCTTTCGTTCGAGAGGGTTTACTCATTGACCGGACTTGAATTTCGTTCGACATATTATTTTCTGAAGACTGAACGTGACTAAAATCGTCTAAACGAAATAACTCAGAAACGTCATCAACTAACCACAAGTTAGATTTAACTCAGTGATTGATTCGACTCGAGCCTCAAACGAACTGTGACTTGACTTGGCTCGCTACTTGGGTTTGAGGACTTTTACCACCAAACTGTGGGGTTACCAATTGATCTATAGATAAATTCCGTGGGTTTTCTGGACCCATCGCAATATGGTCGTCTATGGCATAGGTTCTCAAAGTGCTCCGTACGGAGCCCCAGGGCTCCGAGGGGGATGCCTAGGGGCTCCGCGAGCTATTTGATTACTTTTCAAAGGACTGACTTGGCTAATTTTGTGACTTTTCAAAGAAGCAATAACAGCTTTGATAAAATTTGACAACAGTATAGCCTCGAAATATGGCAAAGAGGCGGAATTCAAAAATGACAATATTTATAAGCACGTGCGCAGCCAGGATTCTTAAGAGGGAGGGGGGATCAAAGTTGGAATCGGAATTGTTCGCGCAACATTCTTCGCGATTAAGAAAAAAACTTTTTCAGTGGATAACGAGATTTCTGTTGCGTGAAATATTCAATCCATGACTGATGCGAGCATTTAAAATGTCCTGTCATAATAATTTAATTGTGTTCATCGTTACTCATGTTTGATTCAAGATTACTATGAGGATTACTTAAATAAAAAATTACTATTCTAAAATAACATAAAATACGTGATAAACTGCCAACTATAAATGAATTGGAATCGTATTTTTGCAATCTTGGGATTTTTCAAACTTGATTTGTTCCTTCGCACTCGAGATTATTTTTAAGCAAGATATCGCCGTTACAAAAATCCCGAGGTCGACGTTAAAACTCAATGTTCTGGTGGGGAATTATGAGTTTAATGTAAAAAACATGTTAATTAAAAATATAATCATCGACGAAGTGCTAAAAATAATTAATGAAGAATCAGCGGTGAATATACAATATACAATTGTGCAATCCATGGCCGATGCGGGCATACTTAAAATGACTTGTTTATTGGGTTAATTGTGTTCAATGTAACCTGCGGTTGTGTCGACTCACAATAAATATCATTACTTCTCAAATTACCATGGCAATCCGCGTATATGAAATGAGAAACAATGAAACAAAGTTAAGTGAACGAAGTTCTTGTGGACTATGGTATATCCTGAACAACGCTGTTATAATGAGATATTAGAAACAAAGTCATATTGCCCACAAAAGAATATATATACCTACTAGCTACTACCGATGCCAGAAGTTTGATAAGATATTTGTGCCTGTCCCGATCAAATCATAATCGTAATTATGACTACCGATTGCGTGGCAGTGTGGAAGATTATAGCGATTTAGCGAATTCGACAAATTTGAGCCCTTCTTGCAACACTGATATCACCCTCTCGCAGGTCTACCACTCAGGTTCTTTGCAAGATATCACCGTTTAAAAAATCACAAGGTCTGGGCAAAATACGAACGATTGTAATTTGTGTTATTGCATGCGGCTCCGTTGGTAGTTTCAGAATGGATAAAAGGTACTTCGCGCGCACAATTGTGACTGTGTATCGATTTCAGTTACCACGATGAATAACCAAAAAAAAACCTAACATAACACCAAATATTGCCATTTACAATGTCTAAAAAAGCGTTTTAAATCTGTCGTGAGTCTGCTGAAACAAAACTTATATTGTTATCTTCCGTTTTGAGTTTTAGTTTTAATATTTCATAATGCCGCTATTCAATCAAGAAATTTGAGTTGCGGATTCACCGCCGATTCTTTATTAATTATTTTTAGCATCTCGTCGCCGATGATTATATTTTTAATTAATTTGTTTTTTACATTGAACTCATAATTCCCCACGAGAACAAAAAAGCAATTATTGTCGTCATTGTGGAACAATACATGTATATGCCGAAGGAAATTTTTGATTTAGGGAGAATAAACACCGACGTAAAGATGTTTAAGGTTTGACGTTTCACGCTGACGAAAACAGTCGGCGATTGTAACAAAATGCAGTCGCGCAGCGACCTTTTAAGTCTTACAAAAATACCAAAAGGAAAAAGATTCGACCCCTAATTTATTGATATGTTTGGCAAGTGTCAAATTTACAGTCTTAATATATATAATTAATTTCTGAAATTTAGATTTATTTATGACTTGTATTAACCATATTAAAAAAGGGTAGCATTTAAATTAAGTAAAGTACTTTCAACTTACTCATGAATATTAATCGGCAAGTAACAATTTTGAAATTTATTTTAGGGCTTCGTGAATAATAGTCAACCTCTTCACGGGCTCCGCAACACCAAAAGTTTGAGAACCCCTGGTCTATGGCTTTCTCCGCCACCAGGTCCATGTATCTGAGACAAATAACTGGTTACCCAATTCCAATACCCGACATGGACTGATAACTGTATGATTATATCGTATCCTTATTTTTTTAGCATTATTTAAACGTTGAATACTTACACTTCCAACCCAGCCATTGCTGACTTCCTCGTGAGTTCCAACTCCCTATAATATAATGAAGAAATTATATATAATAGTAAGTTTAGAGATTAACAAGAGAGCTCAAATGTACGAAGATACCAGAAAAAGAACTGCAGAATTAGAACAGGCAGTATGGGAGGAAAGTTCAGAAAATGAGCCAAAAAAAAAACGTAAAAACAAAAGATAAATTGGAAACCGATCAAAAAATGAGGTACTCCCGTAATATATGTACCAGGTTAGGGTTTTTAGACCATAATTTTATTCCGTACCGATTCAGGAATTTTTTTATTTCTTCCTTTTTTACAATTTCCTTATGCTTTCCGGTTGAACAGAGAATATTTAAGTTCCATTACTAGTTTGGGAACGTCTATGTTAGCCAAGTGAATACACCACCTGCCTATAGGTTTCATTCCCCTTGCACAACTTGATGTAAAGTATGCGAACAAAATTAGTTACCTCCATATTGGTGCACACACTTTTGGAGCGCCAAAAAATAATGTAGTGAAACAAGAAGCAATAATCGAAGAAGAGAACAAACAGGAAAAATAAAGAAATGATAAAAAGTAAATCATGAGCAAGAAAAAGCGAAAGAAGAGAGTAAGTAGGTTAAGACGACATAGAATTTATAACAAAAGAAAGAATAAGAAAATACAAAAAGTTGTAAGCAATATTATAGAAATAGAAAAAATAAATAAATAAAAATATGTAGTAAATTCGAAGTAGATAAAGAGCACAAAAAAGTAAGAAAAACTATTCAAAACATGTAAATAATAAATTGGGATAAAAAGTAGTTAAACTCCTTTAAAGAATTGTTACGTACATCACCACAGCTCCAACCGGTTGTTTTTGTGCATTTGTTTCCAATGCTGTGAGTCTGTGGGCGATCAACCCAGGTTATGAGACAATTGTTATTATCAAGCCAAGTAAAACGAGAAAAGTAGTAGTCCCTGGAACATAAATAAAAAGTTCAAAGGTTGACTAGGTTAGGCGTCTTGATACTGAATTACTACTACTTGAACGAGTGTGTTCTAACGGAGAGGAATTTCTCTCCATGGAGATTATTTTTATTTCCGGAGGTAATATTAATTTTATTTGGTGTAGTTTTACTAATATTGTCTCTAAATTTGACACTTGACAAAAATATTAATAAAGTAGTGTTGAAATATGGCAACAAGGCGATAATTGAAATATGACATTATATATTGGAAATTGTTGGCTTAGCCTTAGGCCATGCTTGTCCGAAGAAGTCTGACCTCGGTCAGACAGAACGCAACAGAAATATATTTGTGTTAGTGTGCAACAAGACTCTTCAATTGAATAAAACCTACGTAAAATTTCCTTGTTTGTCCGTAGGAAATGGTGCTGGAGGAAGTTCTACATTGGTGGCTGCAGCAATGTCATACACGAACATTTTCACTGTAGGATTCGTAGTTCCTGCTTTTGGGTAAGCAATTGTAATTGTCTCTGGGTATTGAGCGTCTCCATACCTGAAGTAGGATTAGGATATAATTTTTTATATTTATGCAAAACAAAAGGAAAGTTTATAATACGACAGACATAGTTAACCTAATCGTATGGTGAACCCTGGTGGGTTCAGAGAGGCCTGTTCCTTACGCTGAGCACAATGCGCCAACCTCCGCAACGAGTGAATAAAGTAAATAATTGGGTACTTCCGTAGTATGTGTACCAGGTTAGGGTTGGGGCATAATTTTATTCCGATTTTCTTTATTTTAGTTCTATTACGAGTTCAGGGACTGTTTGTGTTGTTTGTGTTAGCCAGGTGAATACACCCCCTACTCATAGGCTGCCGCCCCTTCACACAACTTTAACAAAATCAGTTACCTCAATATTGGTACACATACTTCTGGAGCGCTAATTATTGTTCTTTAGTGAGTCTTCTTTGGAATCATATCGAGGCTCATTACAAGGGTCGATAATAGTACTGAGTGTACAAAAAGGCAATTTTCAAAAAAGATTCAAATTAGTTGTTGAAAAAGGGATTGGGAATATAACGGTGGTTTATCTTGTCATTATCGTAAAATCTTTTACATGACTCTTACTCTCGCCTCTCGCTCAGAAAAAGATTTTGTATAACCAGCCACTGATAGCTGTTTATAAGTGGAGAACTATTTCTTATATTGGGAAGGGCTGAAATTTTCCGCTTCGACATGGTTCGAATTATTTTGAACGTATAAAAAGTCAAAAAAGCGTTTAAATTCATTGATATATGCGGATTATTCGCACTCTTTCGAAGTATTCAACTTACATCGAAAACTTCACTCTTTCTGTGTTTGTATCATCAGTCTTCAGGTAAGCAAACGAAGATGAGTCAGGCGCCCAATAAAGAACGTTGTTGCTGCCTATCATCTCCTCTGTAATACATTAACAGATCTATTTAAACATAGTTGCGTAATTCGTATCAGTTGCCACTTAGGCCACACCCGGTTGCAACCACGGTTACGTATTCTTGTTGCTATGTAAAAGAAAAAGCAAACCATCAAGAGAACAAATATTTCCCGTTTACCGATGCCGTATGTCAAAAATGTAACCCTTCTAATTCAACGAAAATAATGATCGAAATCTAAAAATTATAAATCAACTATTAGTAATAAGTTGTTATATAGGGTTAGGATATTAAACTTTTTTTTTAATTTGGAAATTTTTATGCAGGAGTTTCCTATACCTAGGTCGAAGTTTGGCCCAAAATGTAAACAGTGAATATGTAAGTTCTTTATTTCAAATTAAGCAGATATTTTTCGAAAACAATGTTTGATCTCAAAATATTCTATAGTGATATTTTGAGCTCCATTTTCTTTCAATTCATTTGCAAACTTTGAATCGAACTCAAAAAACTTTAATTTTATTTGATTTAACAATTTACTGAAGAATATATTATTCAAAATGACAATGAAGCGATTTGCTGAGCCCCAACTCTAACTGTAACCGAACGTCGATTAATAAGTGCGTTTCATTATTTCGCAATTATTATTTGTGCTGCATGCAGGCTAAATGTACTACATTATACAAAGTGGGATTGGTCCCGTAGTATGTGAACCAAGATGGCGGACACCGGAACGTAGTATGTGTACCGGGTTTTATTATTATGTTTCTATTGCGAGTTCGGGGACTAGCCATGACTCCGGTAGTTTTTGTACCTGAAATTATGGCCTTCAACATGGTACACATGCTACGTTCTTGTGTCCGCCATCTCGGTTCACATACTACGGGAGTACCGTATGATTGATATATATTCTGCACAAAATGCATTCAATGCGAAGTGCCCATGATATATAATAATAATAATAATAAATGAAAAAAACTTGTGAAATGTTAGTTCGTTGATGATTTGTGTCAAGGTTTTTCATATACAAAATTTAATTTGTTCCGGACCTGGAGCTTGATTCGAAAATCAACTTCGTTTTTAACCCGGGGTCGGCAGTCGCTGTCATTGTAAATTTTCCTAATACTTGTATATATCACAAAGACCGAATCAAATCAAACTATTTTACCTTCATAAACCCAGTCAGGAATTCCGTTGTAAACGTCGTTTTGCGAACCGTCACTCGTAACTTGGGTTATAACGGGTGTTGTGTCCAAATCTTTGATGACGTATACGTTCCATCGGTGCACATAGGCCTGTAATGAGATTTCAGAATATCTGAACCCAGGGATGTGAAAACTACGGCCCGCGGATCGTATGCGGCGCTTTGAACTTATTACGAGTTTTTGTAGAGCACGGAATATAGATTTAAAATAAAAATAACGTTTTTTCTTTACTATCCGTTGGGATTACCCGAGTCTAACTATCTTTCCTTGGCCAATGTTCTTGCTCAGTTGGATCCGTATACTTATAATGCATGCGACGATGCTGTAGCAAAATTAAATGAATATTCTATGTGATTTAAGAGTTTCGCTGCTTAGTAAAACAAATTATTTAAGTCATACATTTTATGTTAGTGTGCAGAAAGACTCTTGGTCATAAAATTTGTTTTCAAATATTATTTTTAGTTCAAGCTAAAAATTGAATACAATTGGTTAACTAGATGCACACAAAGAACTATCTAACAATAACAAAACAAGCAAATGAACAACAAAATGGAAAAGCAAGTCTTGCTTGTGGTCTCTTAAAAACTTGCCAATCTGTATTCAATTTTCTATATCAGAAAATAAGCAAAGCCACACACAGTCATTTATAAGTAAAAGAGACTGATCTTGGAGCAAAGTTACGACGACCACCGAGGTGCCGGAACTTACTGACACTAAACAAAATTAAAGCAGTACATCATCGAAATACTTTACAAATATACGTTTTCTTACCAATGTATGAGCAGTAGGCGACCATTCCATATGGTGAATCATGCCGTCACTGGGAAAGCCAGGTACGTTGACTCTCGTTCCGGCTTCATTTCCATCGACTATTTTATATATTGCATAGTTTCCTGTGTGGGAATGACGCCAAACCTGGGAATAATCAAATGTTAAAAAGTAAGCTTGCCATATACATGAAACAAAAAAGCGGGACATTTGGCAATTGTTAGTTCGATTCCAAAGCTTAGTAATATTTTAGTTCCTATGAATATTAGCAACATTCAACTCATAAGATAACGAGAACTCTCTCTCTTGAATAGTTTAACGTAACGTATACGTTAAATGGACGCATTTTCAAATGAAGTATTAATATAGTTGTTCTCTCTCACTCTGATGTGAGTGGCAAATCAATGATATGCCTACTTTGAAAAAAAAAATGATTAGTATTAATGTTGAATATAAAAACATATTTATGACTGCCATAAAGTATGACCGGGACTGTTAAATCACCCGGGCGGGACGCCGGGAAAGCTTGGAAAATCAGGACGATTCGGATTTAACCGGGACCGAGGTACTCTGCCCACCCCCGCCCTTGATCTAGAGGGAACACAACTTTTGTACAAAGCAACAAACAAAAGATCAAGAGTTAAAATTTTCTTTATTTTCATAGAAGTAGTCAAGAAATGTACGGGTTCTATTTGTTTGGGTCACTCTTTCGAATTATTTCAACTTAGCCGAGTTTTTTTTTTGGCAGTTATAACTTGAATTGTTTTGATTTGAGTCTAATTCAGCGGTTCTCAATCTTTTTTGTCATGACCCATTTTTGTTGCACAAAAATTCCGTGGCGCCTTAAATTTTCTATGCTAGGGTAAAACTACAAAAATAACAAATAATTCTTTGTGCATCCTATATTTAATCAAGTGAATCAAATCTAGTGAACATCTAAAAATTAGTTAATGAAGTCAATACATTGTGACTTGTTTCAATATCGTTTTCGGTCGCTGCCTCGGCTCAGTAATTAAAGCTTGCACCAACCTTTTTATAGTCGTCACGATAATAGACGAACATGTTATCTGCTGATACAGAGTATGAAATAGTTTTCCCGTCTCCTTCATCGTTTATCAGCGTTTTGACATTATCGTTGTGCTTTTCAATGTTTCTGATAACAATCTTATCAGAATCGTACGCAATGAATTGCTTATTGTTCGTAGTATCTGAAAAAATATAGGAATTTTTTACAAACGCTTGTAGATCGGTAACTTGAAAATTCATGCACAAGGCTCAATACATGTAGCCATTAATATTTGGTATACTCCCGAAGAATGTGAACCCAGATGGCGGACAACGGAACGTAGTATGTGTACCAGGTTAGGGTTAGGCCATAATTTCAGTTACAAATACTACGGGTGTCACTTGGCGAATCCCCGAAGTCGTGATAGAACTAAAATAGGAAAAATTGGAATGAAAGGTATGACCTAACCCTAATCTGGTACACATACTATGTTCAGGTGTCCGCCATCTTGGCTCACACACTTCGGGAGTATCTGATATCTAACACTACGTAATGACCACAGGGTGGTCGCTAGAATAGCAGAAAATTTGAAGATCAGATGAGATCACGAATAAAATGCGTAAGGTTAAATTAGAAGAATATTTCACAAGTTAACCTTCAAAACAATAAAAGAGCTTGGACTTCTAGCACAAAACACTGCTTTGAAGTGCACCGACGACATTTTGAGCATCTATGTGTGCAATACAACATATGTCTTTAAAAAACTTTGTAAAAAGTATTTTCTGTAATAACAAATAGCAGTTTGACAACTTTTCTGTTTTCCTGCGACAATCCTGTATTCATAAAACGACCGAACTCTTTCGATTCGGCATATCCTATGTTGGAGAATATACAAAACACTTTGCAAAGTAGCATTTTGTGGTAAACTTATAAAAATGTGTCACTCAAATGTCATGAAAAATAAAAATATAAATCAAAATGTTTTTGATAAACTGGAATTTTCAATTGAATTGAAAAAAGGCGCTCTAGAAGTATGGGTACCAATATGGAGAAGAACGTAAGCATATGAACAGGGGTATATTTACTTGCCTAACACAGACAGTCCCCGAACTCGTAATACAACTAACATAAGGAGAATCGGAAAAAAATCATGACCTAACCCTAACCTGGTATACAGACTAGAGGAGTACCGAAAAAAGTCTATGGTCACTAGGATTGTGAGCCGACAACAAATTTTCGTTTTCTATTAGTCCTAAGTTTCAAGCCTTTCACCTGTTTTATCCCAGTTTGGATAAAGACTATTGTAGCCGTATTTGTCTCCGAATAAATCATCAAAAGTGTAGGTTGGTTTGGTGCTTGGATCGATTGTTGTTTCTTGTGGGTCCTCAGTGGGATTGACCTCTTCATCTGCAACAGAATTGAATATTAAACTAAAGCTATGAGCAAAATAGGCTTTAAGAAATGATCTAACACAGGATGTGGGCAATTACTTTTCTATACTTGGTTACTGGGCCAGATGCTCAAAAATCAATATGAAACTATGAATAAAAATCAGTTAATTTACAGATACCTAGCGTAAAAGCAAACGTACAACAAACATCTAGTGTACTAAGTGGCACACTTTTTTGTAACAAGAGGCAGATTATATTCAGTTGCAGATTAACACGCCGAATTACGGTCTATATTTTAGCCAACCATTCGTTATTTTAATCGATATTTTCAAAGCAAATTAATATCCATAAAAAGTATAGTCGTAATTTCTCAGTTTGGGAAACGTTGGCATAGGCAAAGGAGACAAGTCTAATGTAACAACAAATATTGAATAACATGACAAGGATAAAAGTCGTCGTCAATAAATCTCATCTAACTCGTTGGCTCTTTATCCGGTCGCTTGCGCATATCCTTTTTCAGGGGTTATTAATACATCAAATAAAAACTTGGGTGTTACCGTTTTACTCGTTCTGTTTAAAATAATTAAAATCTTGTGCGACTATTGAGATGTTTGCTAATAGTTGTCATTAAAACTTTAAACTTTGAAATATAAAGTTTAATGGCAAAACAAAGCTAGTCTGGACTTGGTCACAAGTCATTGTGTTTAGATATCGGGCGGGTGTGTTTACTTTTCTTCAATCCACGACTTGCACATTTGCAAAGTAACGACCGCGAGGACATTTTACTTCTTTATTTTTTATCCGTCTTTGTTTACCTTTTCTAATCATTGCTTTTATTGCGATTTCCCCCCGCGAATGTAAAACGTCAGCATACAACGAGTATTCTGACAAACAAGTAATAAATTCTACGCGAAAGAATGCAGTGCTCCCCATATCATTATTACTAAGTTTGTTACTAATGGGAACACTTCAAGGTATATTTCTAGTATTTCACAATTGACATCACTTCTGCCATCGAATGGTTTGTCACTTAAAAAGCAAACAGCGGGATTGTTTTTGTATTTATATCTTCTTGAGTTTGTGCTTAAAAAGCTTCTAAAACCTTATGTATTTTTATACTTTCCCACGTATAAAATCTTAATACTATGAATGAATAAAGCGATAATTGTTTTTCCAACCATGTTTGCGGAATAAGAGCATGTGAAAGAAAATACGTCTTGTATTATAGAGTAAGAGTGGGGCTACCCAAACCAATAGGATCGCGACCCCTTCCAATATAATAACATTTTTCGCAACCTCATGCTTCGAGTGCGCGCCGCAACACAAAATTAAAGTCGTCATTGTTATGCAATCGCGCCGCTTCTTTTCATCCGAATTCTATCGAAATCGTGAGATTTATGTTTTTCACTAGTTTGAGTAGTTGTGTTTCGAATCAAAAGTCTAAAAAAGTACATTAGATATATTACTTTGTGTGAAATTGGTTTACTCTTACGACCCCTAAAATTCGTTGCGCGCTTTTGGTGCCATGGATTTGGTGTCATTGTAAAATTAGGGACCAAATGCTCTGAAAGGCTCAAGCTTGGGATCTAAGATTGATAGAAAACCATACGTACGATTTTAAACTTTCATTCATTTTTAATTCGTTTTAAAATTGTAAAGGAGTGTTCCAGAATTTAACCGATTTACATTTTTTCAAATGATTAATTTCTAAAGGAATAAAAGTATTAATTGTCTCATTTTATCAGGTTTAATATTCTTGTACCAAATATTCCCGTTCAATGATAAATTTATTATTAGTAATTTTGCCAAGCTCCTCCCTTCTTGTTACTAGAAAAAAGTATTATGACGTCACGTTTTTTTCATGCCATGACGTTTTATTACAACTTTGAACTTCCTAAATGTTTTTAAATTCAATCCATAACTTATAAACTTGCGTGATTGGCGTACGTATTTCACCTGGAACAAAATTTCCCATTTTCGGCAACTTCTGGCAATTTAGCATAAAATGAATGTAAAATCTAATGCGTATTCGCTATAGTATAGAATAGAATGGAGTATCACTGTAAACATAGAAATCTGATGCCTTGGAAGGTTCTGTTTATTCCCAAATTTAAATAGGAATCGTGTTTCATGATCTATGGCCCCTTTCAAAGAAAACACTCCATGATCCCGAAATAAAAATACGAGCTTGAGATTGGTTTGCATAAGTAATTTGTGTTCAATATTTCAATGCTGAGAAATTTGGTAGTTCTTATGGATGGTATATGATGTAGTATTACTTTTATTCTTTAGTTCTTTATTACCACTAGCATACTTAAGTAATTTACGCATACGTTTTGAACTATTCAAAAGTACTTAAACCGTACAAAAACGGGAGTGCGACTTGCGCATAGCACTATCTAAGAATCCATTGAAGATACAAAAAAAGTAGTTTTTATGCATAGTAAGTGAAGAAAAAGGGGTTAGGAATAGGCGAAGGTGGAATTTTAATGAAACAACTTGGGAACCGCATCACAAGTGGGAAAGCATAAAGGCAAGATATTTAGATATTGTCTCCACAAATCCCAAGAACTGATTTTTATTTTGATGGCGAAGAAGGGAATTTAACAAGAAAACTTGGGAAACACACCACTAGGGCAAAGCATAAATGGATAGTTAGATATAGTCACCACAAATCCAAACTACTGGTCAATTTTTTTTTTTTTGAGACGAAGGAGAAAATTTAACAAAAAAGCTTGAAACACACACCACTAGTGCAAAGGCATAAGAGAAGGATATAGTTAGGCAGTTAGTCTCTCGTAACCCCAAATAACAGTTAATTCTCATGTCTTTTTCTTTCTTTCATTTCTAAAGTGTATTAATTTGTCTCATTTTTTTTATCAGGTTTATTATTCTTGTTCCAAATATTTCCTTGTTACTGGAAAGGAGTATTGTGGCATCACGTTTTATGGTACTATGAGGTTATATTACAGCTTTGAACTTCCTAAATGCTTTTAATTCAAATTATTACCAATATATTGGATCGTTCTTGGAGAGGATAGGATGTGATATTACTAATATTCTTTAGTTTTTTAATATTGCTATCATACCTATATAACTTTTGCACGCGTTTTAAACTATTTGAATTGTACAAAAACGGGATTGCAACCTGCGCATAGCATTTGCTGAAGATACATTGAAGATTTAAAAGTAGTTTTTATGCATAGTGTCGAAAGAATAAATATTTTGAAAACAGGCGAGGGAAGAAATTTAACGAAAAAGTTGGGAACCGCACCGCAAGTGCAAAGCATAAAGGAAGGATGGTTAGATAGTCTTCACAAATAACAACTAGCCTACTGGTTAAATTTCTTTTTTTTTTTGAAGGCAAAGGGAGGAAACATTTGACTAGTGCAAAAGCATAAATGAAGGATATAGTTAGTTAGGTAGTTAGGTCTGCCGTAACCCAAAAATAACAGTTAATTTTTATGTATTTTTTTTATAGGCAATTTGTTAGCCATTCGAATTATATCACAAGATGGAGGAAATTTCTGCCAACGCATCAGCAAACAAATGATAACCTGCATTTCCGTTCACTGTAAACAATTTTCAGAAAATTAACTAACATGAATCGGTGATGCTGAAATGTTTAAAAATGCAGATTCCTGGAAAAATTGTCGATCGATGATATTAAGAAGGCGCGTTTCAACAAATAAATATTTTTGATCATTTAGAAACATTTTTGAAAAACATTTGGGTCGTTCTTGTGATAATATCTAATATGTTAGTGAAATTGTAGTCATACTCGATAAATTGTTTTGTGTGTATCCAGCATTGTTAAATATTGGCTTTTTGGCAAACATTAACCGCTGTTAGGTATGTGCAATATTTGCATTACATGGACACACTGGCTCTCAGTTTCAAGTGAGGACATGCATGAAAACAGTTTAAATGTTTCAAAATGAGTAAGGGCCGCGCTTAGTTGTAAATAATTTGCAATTGTGTAATATAATCTTTATATTCTTCACTTAGTCTATATGTATGTATAAAGCATGAAATTTCGACTTCTGAAATAACGCAATTTGTAAAATCTAAACTCAATTATCATTCCAAAGTGTTTCACAACTAATATGTTACTCTAACATAAATCAACAATGATTGAATAACATTTGTTGTTTTGGGTTAAGAATCAGTTTTAATTTAACGCCATTTTTCAAATTTCAGGATTTTAAATTTTCATGTCAATTATGGTAGAAAATATCCAAACTTCACGACGCAAAAATACACGATTCAATATATATATATATAAAAAGGCTTCAATGAGGCCAAATGAATAACAATATATGGCCAAATGATGAAAACTCAAAGTATTTGTGCTAGCAAATGTTATCAAACATATATGGTTCTATTTTTCGTCATTTCTAAAGCCGCTATAGCGAAAGTGTTGCGGCTATATGGAAAAAAGCGTCTAATAATCCTTGCAAATAAAAATTTCAATATAACCGCGGTGACTTAAAAATAAATAAAATAGCGATTGTTTCATTAATTTAATTGGCGACCGTTTTTTGTGGGTTAATTTTTTATATTCCACTCAAGATCTTTGGTTTGAGTACTATTGAGTTGGACAAATTCTAAACAATTTTATCACACTAACCTCCAGGGATGAGTAGAACACACGGAACAACAATAACAACAACCACAGCTGCACCACTGAGCCCGCCGATCAACCATTTCCATTTGTTTTGCATCTAAAAAGAGAAATCGAACTTTTTATCATGAGATAACATACAGTGTGTCCATAAAATCCCTTTACAATTTCAATTTTGTTATGAAGTCTGTTCTCAATATATCTTAACCAGGTTTGTTGTCTTTGAACAGTAATTGTTTGAGTATTTTTACTTCATTCTATATACATCTGCGAGGGCCAAAACAATACATTGTATCGATGAATTCTCTTTGCAATTTTAAAAATTTTCAAGACATTGTGGACATCCTATAATTGAACCTCCCAGGTATGAGAAATAACAAACTGTGTCTTTTGCTCTCTGGGAACAAAATGTGTGTGTTAGAATAACAACATCTGTTCAATTTGGCATCTAAACACAATAAAATTGGAACAAAAAGGCATTTCTTATCTATGACGAAAATGCTCTTTAAATTTGTTTCGAAAATACATTTTGTTTGATTAAAATATTGGTAATATATTCATATTATTAAGAAAGCACTACACTAAAATATATTTCCCCTCTAGTGAATATTCCTCAGTTAAGAAGATCTGAATTTAGCAGCCCTTTACATCGTAGTAGCAGTAGCAGCGTGTGCAGAGTCACGTTCAAGCGGAAATACGTTATAAGTACATTGGACTCAGTTTAAATCTACTTCATAAATATTATTTTGTTAATAATTAGTCTCAATTTTAGTCTTCATTCATCATACGATAACGAATTGGAATACCATACGCCTCGATAAACCTTATCGATCATACTCAATATATTTAATTGATTAGCCAAAACAAACGATAACTAGTACGTGGATGATTCATGAATGCAACTCAATAATATCATCGAGTTTTCTATATGTTGCAAGTAAAACATAAAAACATAAAAATGAAATTTTGTGTACTGTCGCGTAAAGTTATATTCTTTTGTTTGTTGCATAATATTTTTAACATTTTAACGCAAATCGCTAACTTTTTTGAAGATATCCGAATTTTCAGTTTATTTTAATACTATAAAGACTTCAATATCTGTATGCTGCCTCGAAATGTTGTAATCCCAATAGTGTAGTGTGTGTTTTATATTATTTAATATTTAAATCGAATTGTTGATTTTTATGACAATAATTTTAGAGAGTAATATTTATTTTAATAAATTTTGTTTTGTGAAATTATTGTTTCATTTGACACCTCATTTTGCGTTCCGTTGCGAACAAGGCGTTGTAAAAGCGGCCAACGATATCTATAGGTAGGAGATCTACTATATTCTTTTCGGTATGGAAATAAATGATATTGTCGAATATTTAAAAACCGTGCAAGAAAACATCAATTTCATTCAAAATCTGATATCAAATAAAATCACTCGCGAGACACTGACAAAAGTTTTAGGCTTTTGCGAGAAAATTGTTCAAAAAGTTAACTATGTTGAAACAAAAAGGATGAGATATAATGAACAGTCAAATAGTAACGCTTTGCTGGTTATGCAGTTAAGAAATCTGCGATCCTAACTGAGTGTTCAAGATCTCCCCCTATAACAAACAAGTTGGCTTGCTCATAGAGAATTGAATAGATAGATATCTCTTCGTATTTGTTTAACTCGAGTCTTGCTCGAAACAAAGAGCTTTGACAGCCCGCGAATACTGGAATACGTATAGCATTTCAAAGAATTTCAAAAGCAGTGACCTCGATAATAGTATTCTCAAGTATAACTAATCTAAAAAGAGCCCCCTTGAGTATTTGCACCAAGATGGCGCACAACCTGAACCATACCCTGGTACACATACCATGTTCAGGTTGTGCGCCATCTTTGTGCACATACTACGGGAGCACCATCTAAAAACTTTGAGAAATAACATGTGAAACAAATTCGATATTTCATCGCGGTCATGAATGTTGTTTCCTGGTGAAGTTACAATAAATAAAACTATAACATCCACCCCATCTTTATATCATTACATATATATCATAAAATACATTTAATTTTTCGTCGTTCAAAAAAAATGTGTAAAAATAGAATTGTAATGATAAGCCTAATAATTGTTTGATAATTTTTTCAGCATTAAAAAATATAACTCAAAAACCATCTATAACGTACCTTTTTAATTTTCTTCAAAATCAATTCTATTCCAAATTCTGTAATAAACAGTTAGTAGCAGCGACCTTCTGTCTCTCTCGCCTCTGCAATACAAAGAGAGTATCGCTATCGCACACGGAGGGAAGGCTTGTTGGCTCAATGCACCGCGAAAAATAGCAAATATTACTTCGGTCATTCAGTTACCTGAGTGTATTGTTGAACGGTAAACACAAAAGTGCTGAAGCATGAAATTTTATTGCAGTCTAAATATATTTGAAGATACTTCATGTGTGGCTGACTGATGTTCTGCGGAGTTATTTTTACGCCACTTATGGTCGAGGATGTAGCGTGCCCTATGCACTATCTATAACATATACTCAGTTTTAATAGCTTGTTAAATATCTTTTGAGTGAAATGGTATTTGACAACATTTTCATTTTGTCGTCAGTTACAATAGAATAGTTGCATTACAACGGTAACTATCGCTACATTCATGATATGCCTAGGTATTTGAACGCCACTCATGATAAAAGATGTATCGTGCTTCTATGGAACGCACTATCTATTAAATACTCAGTTTTGAAGGGTTTCTGAAATATATTTTAAATGAAATGGTATTTGACAACATTTTCATTTTTTCGTCAGTTACAGTAGAATCGTTGCTTTGCATCGATAACCATCGTTGTACAGGTAATAAAGTCATCCAGAAAGGCCATATTAAACCCAACGGGCTTTAGCCGGGAAGTCGGGAAATTGAGTCTCAGACAGTCTCTTTTTTACAGACACTCGGTACATAAGATTCGCTACCCAGCTGGTGTAGACATGAAAACGAAATAGGTCTCGCATTTTAATGCGACACTTGATTTGTGACTTTCTCTCCAAACAAGGCCTGTACAAGCATAAACTGATATTTGGCGATTTATAGAAGGCTACGGATTTTATAAAGCATTGGAATCATTCCGATTCGGGATGTGCTGTCCAATTTATTACACCATAGGTCGGGGGATCCGAATCCGGGCCGTCGAGTAATATAATCCGGCCCGCGATGTATCACTGAAAATTATAGTGACAAAACAGCTGTTTTTACGATTATATTTTTTACGTAACAGAATTTATTGTGCGACACGTGTAGACTAAATTATATTATAAACTATCAAGTATATAATTCACAATTACTCGTTTAATGAGCCTATAATTCGATTATAATTAGACAAATGACAACGGAACGCAGAAAAGTTGATGCTAAGTGCAAAGGGTTCAATGGCGCCAAAAATATTCAAATGGAATTTATTTAGATGCAATTCAATGGAGAAATAAAAATATATTCTATTCGAGAGATGTGTCGTTCGGTTTTTAACTTTCTAAAAATATGTGCGGCCCGCCAAAGACTTGCAACCCGTAATTTTGGCCCACGAGTGACAAAAGATTGCTGACCCCTGCCATAGGTGAACTGGATACTAAATTTCTTGAAAATTGCATGCTTTTTGTGGTATTATATATAAATAAATTGTGTCATATAACAAAATCATTACAATATTTTCACTGATGCCGAAAAAGTTAGGGGATCGTCATTGACAATTCCAAATATTCAAGTCCACGAGAATTAATAGATATCACGATAAAGAAACACGTTTTATTCAAGTAATAAAAAGGCGATTTTTAACGAGTTTTAGTTGAATACAAGACAATTCCAAATATTCAAGTCCACGAGAATTTAAAGATATCACGATAAAGAAACACGTTGTATTCAAGTAATAATAAGGCGATTTTTAACGAGTTTTTGTTGAATACAAGACACCTTTATACTTTTCTTAGGGGTCGGAATCATTCCGGTTTGACATTGCCCCCTGATTTATTTCTCTCTGCGTGAGGTGGTTGCTAAATTTTTTGAATCTTGGATATTCTCTGTAGTAACATTAAGTACATTTATCTCTGTATATTATAGCATTCAACAACATCATAACATTATTTCCACAAAATCAAAATTAGCAAATATGCGAAATTTCGGGGAAACTTTTCAGGCAATTGACAATTTTAAGCAGGTATAATGCATATTTAAATATAGCAACGATGAATCGTGTGAAGTTGTTGTATGTATGTTGTATGTTGTACATGGTGTATACAAGTAATCAGAAGGCGATTTAAACAAGTCTAGTCAACATATCTTTTTTAGAGGGCAAAGCCAATCTTTACCCAAACACTGCTTTTTGGATTCACTGATACGTGTTTTCAAAATATATTTAAAAATTTTAGGCTCATTTGCATTGTATTGCGACTTATTTTATAGAGATTTTACACATTCACTCCTAACGAGGATTTATGTTAACTGCCACTGATACGTGTTTTTGATTTTCTTGACATTGTGACTTCAGCATGATCATGTATGTAGGATATGGACATCTATTTAATGGATTTGCGTAATTTTCCCTGCGAAACATGCACCAGACAAGTAATTTCAAGAGAACCCTTTATGACTTCGAAAGTGAATGATAAAATTTTGCGATTTAGACGTGTGTGTACCAATATAAAGTAATACGAACTAATTTTGTTGGCCTATTTTACATCAAGTTGTGTAAAGGGACTAAAACCTAGGGACAGGAGGTATATTCTTTTGACTAAGACAGACAATTTCCGAACTGGTAAAAAGGAAAATCGGAATAAAATTCTGGCCTAACCCTAACCTGGTACACACACTACGGGAGTGACAAAAATGCGGCAGAGCCGTCCGATTCTGTATACTAGGAGTTAAATATATAGAATATTAATATGTATTTCGGAAAGGGAGAGGAAAGTTATTGGGCGGCTTATTCATATGGAAAATTACTTGTACCACTCCATGTTCGGCATGTAATTAATTAGTCAGATTTTCATTAAAGATGCACGGACTTGATTGTGGAAAATTGCATGATGCAACAACAGCCGATGTTTTTAATTCATACCAACCAGCATATAATCGATAAAAATACCCAGATCGGAAGAATAATATTCATTTCGAATTAATTATTGTCAAAATTCCGAGATATTTGTATTTATTTAATGATAGCGACTTCACGTGAATGAATAAATAAAAGCAAAATAAATATCATGGACAACTGTTCACCGCCTCGTGACTTACTGCTAAGCTATATTAAAGTGTTAAATAAATGTATACATGTGGGTCACCAAAAAGTGGGACAGTGCAAATTATTTAACAAATATGTTTTGTTAAGTGGGTATTCACTGTAAATCATACACATATCGTTATTTTTGATAAAAACTGCCATATTATTCATTTAGTAATAATCAGTAATGAGATTCAAAATTTCAGGTTTTCGTTTGTGTCAAAAATGTACATCGCCCGGTGACTCTAGTAAGCTATATTAATAAAGTGTTCTATAAATGTATACATGTAGGTCACGGAAATGTGGGGCAGTTAGCAAATATGTTTTGTTCAGTGGCTATTCATTGTAATACCTATATCATTACTTTTGGTAAAACAGTCTCATTATAACAATACCAATAATGACTATTTAGGACTAATAGGTAATGGGATTCAAAATTGAGATTCAAAAAGAATGGATTCTCTTTTGTATCGAAATCAGTAACAACGGGTTCCCTCGTTGTAGAAACAATGCCGATCTTATAGATCTAAAACAGTGGTGGGCGATTACTTTTCTGAATGGCCAAGACAGTGATAGACTTGGTTACTGAGCCGGAGGCTCAAACTCAATATAAATAATAAAAATAAAAATAAAAAACGTTTATTTGCAAAAGCTATATAATATAATATAATATATATTAAATATTAATTACTTAATATATATTGATAAGAAGCACAATGTAACAATCGGGATCATTATCGGTATTTTTAACAGAAATTTATCTATAAAAACTATAGTCGTAATTCAAGCAGACATTAAGTGGGCCGGATGAAACACTTTGATGGGGCGAATTCGACGAGCGGGCCGTAATTTGACCAACCCTGATCTAAAACAAGACGAGAACATTTTAAGAACTGGCACGCAAGAACTCGTGTAAAACTTCCGAATTTTACTGGTATAAATTAGTTCCTGATTCAATCAGTAAAGATGAAAATTTAAATTTGAGTGTCTTAGGACTTGGCCATTTGTCAGTCATTGTATCCACAATTGCTGACCCAAATGCAAATAAGAAAAACAGGCATCGCAACAATAGTAAAAATATGCAACAACATACGCACACGACCATCAGAGTCAGCTCGCCCTCCAAATACCGACCCCCAACGTGATTTGAATCGTTTTGTATCGTTTTGTATTATGTATCGTTTTTGTATCGGGGCATTTCTGACCAACAAATTTAAATTAACCCCTACATATAAATGAATATATTTTCGGATATTTTCTTAAATGACAATGTCCGTAAACTCAGTCGAAATTAGAGTTTTAATTTCCATTTTTCTGGTTATTTTTTTCATTTTGGAAGAAATAAATCAAAGATTAGTAATAGTAAGTAATTAGATTTCAATTTGATTCGACAAACTAAAACACGTTGCCAAATGTTGCACATGTATTTGTTTCCTCATCACGTTTAATAGTAGTAAAATTAGGGATTCTTTCTATATAATTTGTTTTATCTCAAAAACTTGTAAAAAAAATGCTTCCCATTGCTGTGCATGTAGTGTAATTCCTCTGCTTGTAAGCCTGGTAGGCAGCGCTCGCTCGGCTCACCAGATGAGGGCGCTCGCAGTCCGTAGCAACTGGAATTGTTGACTCTGTCGAGCTCGATCCTTCGGGACTCCTGGAATCTGGAAATAACGCGGAAGTGGTAATCTGGATTGTTTTGCTGACTCGTTGTTGTTATTGGTGCAAATATCTGGCGAGGGAAAAAATTCTATTCGGCGTACTAGGAAGACACTCAATTTCAATTTTTCAGTGCCTAAAAATAGAAATAGTCGCGAGAAGACTATTACTTTTATTTTGTATTTTACGAATTCCCTGTGAGTCCCATTTCACTTTTCATTAAAAGAACATAGTTTCTATTCCGTCAACCGTAACCGATTACGTCACAGCTATCTTTCGTTTCCCTTTTGCGAACTCGGCACTTGTGACACATTCTAGCGTAAGTCGGGTGATCTACCTTTACTGCGGTTAGTAATGGGAAGTTCGTGTACAGATTTTTGAGCATTATTCTCTTGTTTCATTTCCC